GCCAGTGGGATCACACCCAGGGAGTCCGCATGCAGCCCGTGGCAAACCATTTGCCAGTAGGTCGTCCCAGGTACTTTTTTAATGCACATCTTCGGCGGGACACTACAGGTTCGCCATGGGTGCGCTACGCCTCCCAAATGTTCCGGTGTGATCGCGCCCGGAAAGTCCGCGGGACTATCGTGCCTTCAGCGCAGCAAATGCTCCGTGGGAATGGGGCCTTTGTTTACTTCATCTATACCTCAGCTTTCTCCCCAATGGGGACCCAAAGCAGCTTATGTCAGTCTCCTCTTTTCCATTGGTCCCTCACAACCTTGTGAGATAGGCTAGGCTAGGAGTTATGGTTGGCCCAAGGTCACCCAGTAAGGTTTCATGGTAGGGTGGGGGTTCAAACCTGATTCTCCCAGACCCTAGTATGATGCTCTAGCCACTACACCACAGTGATGCACTGTCCGTTGATGCTCATGTGGTGATCGCCATCTGGGAGACTGGGGCCAATCCCCCTCCTTTAAAAGGCTGACTGTGTCAATACCCCCTCTCCCCAAGTGCAGTACTGGCCCAGGTACTTCTCATGCAATCTAGGACCTCCAGCTGGAAAGGGGATTCTTGCAGCAGCCTGGATCCTCACCCATGCAACAGCAGCTGGTTTCAGGCAGCAACTCCACAGGACTACTTGGATATTTGAATCAGGCCTCACTCGGGATCACAGATAGGAGGAAAGAATCAGGAATAGTTGGGAGGAGGAATTAGAAGCAATAACAGTTATTTGGTGGTCAGTGGGAAATACAAGGGTGTACTCATGGGAGTTTTGGAACTGAGCAACCACCAGGGTCCCCTTTTCTGTGCCAACAACCTGGATATGTGAATACAGGAAAAGAGAAAGAAGGAATACATCACACCAACTTCACATTGGGGTGGGGGGACTGCTACCACCACACAACTATGGTGACCCCTGAAAAAGAAGCCACACCTTCTTTTTCCTCTGGGATTCATAGGCCATGCCTTTCTAACTACTGGTTTAGGCTGGGTTTCCCCCCCAGATTTTCCCGACATATCTTATTTTTGCACTGTGTTTCTATCTCAAGTGCATTCTTCAAGTACCAGGCACTTTTTAAACAAAAAATTAAAAATTGAGGTAAAGGAATCGTCTTTTTAATTGCAAGGGGGGAAAAAAATCAGAAAATCGAAGTTTAACAGATTCAACTCTAGCTCCAAGAAAAGGATAGACAAACAGGGCAGGGAGAAGGGAGCCAGAGCAATGCAACTTGCCAGTAAGAGCACACTATCAAGAGCTTCCAGAAGGGCAGAAGAGCTGGACCGGGAAAGCGGCCGCCAGACGTCCCACCGGCAGCCGAGGCACCCTGCCTGCGTGGAAGCTTCCTCCCACTGGTCAGTCTCGGAGTCCTGCCAAACACGCCTTCTCTTGGGCACTGAGCTCTCCAGCTGTTTCCAAGGGGCTCCATTCATCCTAAAGTCCCCAGTCAGCTTCAGGGCTCCCATCACTCCAAACATCATTTTTAACTACTCAACCCAATTTTGATCAAGGGTCTAGTAACGGAGCTGCTTTCTGGATAGAGCATCTGACAGCTATCAAGACACATCATATATTGTAGCTGCATTTTTATGAAAACGGCAGATTCATTTCAAGTGACCCGAGTACCAAAACTCAGTTTGTAACGCGTCAAAAACATCCACGCACAGTGCACAAAGAGCTTTGGAAAAGACTAGGCTGAACTTTACTGTTAAGAACTGCGCAAGGAACGCAAGCCGTCTCCACGAAAATCCTATCTACCGAAGGGGTATTTTAACAAAGCCGATTCGCCTGCAAACAGAGCCTGAGAAGAGAGCCGTTTTTACCTGAACTGGTCAAACTGGGCATATTTGGTCCACTCTTCGGGGTTACTGTCGTAAGATTCCATTGCGTTTTGCACTTCTGCCACATTGACTTTATCGCCAGAAAACAACTGATGCAGGATCTCGATCAGCTCTTCTAACGTCTGCGGTTTCCATACTTCTGTCTGCACGGGCTGATCCATAACTCACTTGCCTCCCTCCAGACGGAGAACACTTCAAGCCGAAGAAAAACTGCGCCGCGCCCTCCTGCCCACAGCCGCCTTCTTCCACAGCCGGCAGCTTCTCTTCCCTCTATTTATCTCCTGGAGTTACACTGGGAATGTACCAAGTGCCCAAGGAGGAATGAGGGAGGCTCCACCAAGCCGCTTCAGCTGGCTATAGGCGCCTGTGGCACGGTGGAAAAAAGGACACCCCCACCCTCTCAGTCAAATAGCTTGCGTAGAGCTTTGGCAAAGCCCCTCGCCTTTTCAAGGTGGGGCGTCTGCGCGGCTTTCTTCTCGCTTCCCTGCGCTGTTCCTTAAACGGCCCTGGAGTAAATCTCCGCTCGGCAGTGCTTTGGAATCCCCCCCCACACACACACACACCAAGAAAATAAGGGTTCGTGAAGGCTTCTTGGTCAAGTAAAAACATTTATCCCAGTCGTTTGGAAATTGCACTCTGGGCACTTTGCCCTTACCAAGGATGGGCGGGTGCACAGGCCGTTTAAAATTAATCTCCCTCGCTGTAATCTGCAATTCGGGGCAAATGGCGTAACAGTGCGATCCTTCCTAAAAGCATTGCCTTCAAACAGTCTAGAAGGGTGAATTTCTGTTTGGGATTTAAGTCTAAACCACCATTCGAAGTCAGGATGCAACCCAGATGCTTAGACAGGGACCACCAGTCAGCCTTTTTTAACCACCCTGGTAACAGTCCAGTGGATAAAGACAAATGGATGATAAAAAATAATCCCTCTTCCTTCTTCAAGGCAGGCATTTCAGCAGTGTAGGAATGATTTTATGTATTTACATTATTTACACCCTTTTTCTCTCCATTGGGGACACAAGCCAGTGTACAATAGCACCCCTCCCTCCTTTTTATTCTCAAAATCATCTGAGGCAGGTTTATTTATTAGATGCCCTGACCTGGATGGCCCAGGCTAGCCTGGGGTCCTCAGATCTTGGAAGCTAAGCAGGGTCAACCTTGGCAAGTATTTGGATGGGAGACCTAGGGTCCAGACACAGAGGCAGGCAATGGCAAACCACCTATGAACAGTCTCTTGCCTCAAAAACAAGTCTAGTTTGCCACCTACTGGTGCATAACACTGAAGAGTTAGATGAATTTCTGGCTGCCAAACGATCTTAGGATCTCCTGGCTGTACTATATACAATCCCATGATAATTATTAGATTTTGTTTGAGATGCTATTGACCCAAAGGGTTTTGTGGCAACTTACATTAAAATCAATGAGATAAAAAACATAAAACAAGCCACAAATGTAAAATATTAACATTACCATACCACTGTTAAAATAGGCCAAACATGTGGTCACCCTCCAAAGACCAACGTAAACAATTCAGCTTTGCATGCCCTGTGGAAACTAAAGAAGTCCGGCAGGGCACGGGTGTCATCTGAGAGTGCATGCATTGCACAGGGTAGGGGCCGTAACTGAGAAGGCCCTTCTCCTGGTGACAGCTAACCGAGCCAGCTTGGGGTCAGGCATCTGCAAGAGACCCCTAGATGATGACCAAAGGGAGCAGGGGTGTGTGTGTGTTGTAACAGGAGAAGCAGTCCCATAGGTATGAGGGTCCCAGACCATTAAGGGCTTTAAAGGTTAACACCAACAGCTTTAATTGGATCTGAAGACTAATTGGTAGCCAGTGCAACTGCCACCTAATTGGAGTAATATGAGCTGAGAATAACAGGCCCAAGGCCACCCAAGCAAGCTTTTAGGGCAAAGTGGCGGATTCAAAAGCAGGTCCTTGAGATCCTTGTCCAACACTAACCAGTACTATGCATTAGGCATATTGAATATGGAAGGAGCATTACCCCAGAGTTTAGCAAAGTACAAAGAGAGAAGAAAACACACTTTTTATAGAGGCAGAAGCCTTATAACAACCACATTGTATACATTTGTCACACACACACAATGTTTTCATGTTTATGTGTGCCTATTGTGTGTGTGTCTATGCAGCATCTCACCTCAGGGGCGACTTTGCCTGTCACTCTCTCTCAGAGAGTAAGCATTTAAAGGTACACTACTTCTCTCTCTAAGCAAGCAACACAGCTGATGAGATTTTTGCTCATCTCTTTTGTTAGGAGGAGTATGCTGCTTCAGGGAGACTGTCTTAAGCTGCATCCCAGTAAGAGTTTCTCTGTTCTGAAATAGGAAGTGGTGTAGTTTTGGAAGCTAAGCATTGTACACATATATATTACACATTAAACAGTGTTACATTTAACTTGCAAATCAAGTTTGAACCATTCTCACTTCCAGTTTACATATTATGGACTATCATATGGTCACTCAATACTCAACCAAAAACGCAAAGTAAGTATGTTAAATATAAGCTTGAGTGAGATTTAAACACTGTGTTGTTAAAATCACTGTTTTCAAGGGGAAATATAAATGTATGTTTATTCATATAATCCACACCTAAACTGATGATTTTAATAGTTCCTTTTACCTCCCAAGAGTGGGGTATAGCTGTAAAAACTTCAGACCTTCCAGTTGTACAATAAAATCTCAAGGGGCAGCACTGGAAAGAATACAGATCTTTGTGTGAGCTGGTTCCAAATTATACTATAGATTTTGCAAAACTATAGTAACCACAAAAATTTCAGCACTATTACTTAGGATTTGAAGGTGCTACATTTCATACATTACTTGAACACATGAAGCTGCCTTATACTGAATCAGACCCTTGGTCCATCAAAGTCAGTATTGTCTACTCAGACTAGCAATGGCTCTCCAGGGTCTCAGGCTAAAGCCTTTTGCATGACCTGCTGCCTGGTCCTTTTAAGTGGAGATGCCAGGGATTGAACCTGGGACCTTCTGCATGCCAAGCAGAGGCTCCACCACTGAGCCACAGCCCCTCTCCTGTATTTCACAACATTTAAGTTTAATAAATCCCTAACATTAATAATTATTCTTGTTTTCAAATGGTCTTATCTTGGTTTCTCAAGCACATTCTCTGGCTCATTCCACAGTGCTCGCCCCAGCGTTTTGAACTTAGTTCTGAAGATTGTTTCTTCACAACAGCCATACACAGCCATTAGGTCCACCAAGCACAATTCTCAATAACATGCTTTGTTTGGCCAGCAGTTTCTTCAAATAATGGGTTTCTTCAAAATGGGTTTGCACAGTATTTACCTTGTATGTTCTGGAGCAGACCAAGTCCCAAACTTACACACTGCCTCAAATTATACATACAGTTTTAAATAGTTACTGGCATTCCACCTGGATTAATAATAAACTCAGTGGTCTTTATAAAAGTACAAGAAAATGTTTGCGTTTCAAGCTTGAATCATGTGGAATTTGTCTAGTGCAATCAGTCCATGGACAACTATTTGCATTATACTGTGACCTTGGCTGCATGGCTTGATCTATGTGGCTCAGTTTACAATGGTACTGATGTGGAATTCCCCAGTGATATGTTGGTCCATACTCATGTCATGATGCCCTTATTCAAGCCAGCCAACAGAGAAACTATGCTACAGCTAATTAAGTCTAGATCTGGTCAGTATCTGGGTGGGAGACCTCCTCAGAATCCTATGTAAGCCATCTTGAATTCCACAACGGAAGAAAGGTCAGATAAAAAAGAAAATGCCAGATTCGTAACAGTTTCCATAAAGGTAGCTACAGAAATTTTTTGTTTTGCATAATACATTGGACCTTAATAAATCAAAACACAGTTTCTAGGAAATCATTTTAACAATACAACTGCAATGTTGAAAAAAAATTATATCAGCTGATATTAAAATAATTAAGTATAACAATCTAATATTAAAGAAATATTTTGGAAATCAGAAATATCAAAAATGGAGATAAACGAGAGCAAATAAAAGTAGGCTCCACTTGAAAACCAGCATTCCATTGTTGATCAGAGGCAAAAGCTGAATTCCAAGCAGCAAAGTCTTCCCTGAATTGTTATTTCAATTACAGAGGATAAGATGAGCAAAGCTAATGTGTGATCTCTCCCTTCCTCCAAGGTCATTTTGGGTGTTCATAGTTGTTTATTTACCATAATGATTTAAAGAGGAACTAGTAGGTTCCTGTTCAAAAGGACACAAGATGAAAGCCTAAAGGTCAAGAAGACTCTACAAGGGAATCAGGTGCTGAATGTACATGCTGTGGGATCAGTGTATGCTTCAATGCACCAAGCAATGGCAAAAGTTAATATCCCCAGGGACAGAAAATGGATGCCAGGGAGAAGGATGAATGCAGAAGGTGTAAAATAAGAAACTGTTCAAAAAGCACACTTGTGTTTCTGCCATTACACAGGACAGGAAATAAATTCAAGGCTACAAATCTATATTTGAAAGGAGGCACAAGATAGTCATTTTGATTATGCATTGCTCTAAAATGCATTTTCTGTAGTAATTCAAATGCCCTTACTCTTAACTGTACAATCCTAAATATACTTTCCTGGGAGTAAGTCCCATTGAATAGGCCTGAGTAAGATTCTGAGCAGACTTTCTTAGGATTGTTTTTAGTCATGCTGTCCATGAAGAATTATACTCATTGGACTAAACCAAAGTGTAACTCCATAATCCAAACAGCTACTGTAGAAAAGCCTTAAAGCAAACTTGCGTTTACCCAGAACATTTTTACTTTATCAAAACAGCAGGTGCTTCTACTGTCTATTAGAACAGCAGATTCCTATAATTTTGAAATGCCCGCATCATTATAGCGTCCTTTCAATGGGAATGTTGAGTTCTGTTCCCTCCTATATACTTGTGTAAAAAGTCAGTGCAGTAGGATAGTTTCCTTTCCTTTATCCCTTAGAAGCTCCTTGCTACATAGATATTGAGCAGTGAAATTGTTTAAATCTGTTGCTTAAGGGACATAAGGACTGAAATAAAACTTGCAACTAACTTTACGATCCCCATCACTCAACAAAAAGAGTATTACCTCTGACACAGATAATCCAGGCCGAAATTGTTTAAACCTGTTGCTTAAGGGACATAGGGACTGAAATAAAATTTGCAACTAACTTTATGATCCCCATCACTCAATAAAAAGGGTATTACCTCTGACACAGATAATCCAGGCCAGTCAGTTAAAAGAGTAATAACGTAACACAATCTAAGAACCTCATAAAAGGGACATTGCAACTGCATATGTGTCAAACCAGACTAACACAAAGAGGTCCTTTCTGAATAAGGTAACCTAGGCTGCGGTCACACGTAACAGAAGCCACACAAGTGAGACGGAAAACAGGCGGCGTTTCCGGGCGCGATCTCACCAGCACATCTGGGAAGCGTAGCACTCCCGTGGCTCAACCGAGGCTTCCAGCCGAAACTGCGTGGCAAAAAACTAGTACCTTGGAGGTACTAGTTTCCGGAAACTGCGGGGCAAGGGCGGGCGTCTGATCGCGTTTCCGGTGGCATTCGGCGCCCGCCCATGTCCCCTTGCAAATAAGGTGTGGTTTTTTTGTCCAAGTCTCTGTGGATGCGCATGCGCACCCAACGGAGCATGCACATTTGTCACGTACACAAAAATAAAAAACAGTTTGCCGCGGAGCGCGCTTCTTCGTTGCGCGCCGGCTTGTACTGTGATCGGCACCTCTCCCTTGCCATGGAACCTCCACGGTACCTCCACAGGAGGTCTGATCGCGTAACTGCGCAGTAGTTTGCCCCAGGGCAAACAGCCACGCTTCTCCTCTGCAGTTTCCTGCCCGTGTGACCGGGGCCTTAATATACCTTACCTTTTATAACCACAGAAGAGTTGGCATTTAACCTGGCGGAAGAAAAGCTCTGAAAAGGCACGGGATTGTCAAAAAATAAGAATATGATGGCAAAAATCTTATAGCAGCAATACTAAAAAACTGAGATGAGGAAGCACAATGAGCATGAGTCACTGGCAGCAGGATAGTATAATACTCATATTCAGTCTCTGACCATAGATTTCAGAACACCAAATGTTTTCATAGTGATACAAGTAACCATACAGCAATAATTTGAACATATTATATTAGAAAGCAAGCACAGGTTGCCCAGAATGTAAAAACCTTCAAATGGTTGGCCAAAGGCCTTTTTTCTTTAAATAGCAGAACACTCCCACCCCCTACATGCCATATCACAAATTGTATTCAGACAAAGTTTGCAATCTGAGGGAGAGGGAGGGGTGCTAACTGAAATACAATTCCAAACTCTTATGAGTGCAAGGAACCAGAAACTGGAACGTACTGTGCTTCAAACAAGAAGGACAACAGAAAATAGAAATTTTAACTATTGTATCTAAGCTACAGAAACTCCAGTAAGCATTCTTCTGCAAGAAGAGGATATAACTTCCATACAACCTGGTGAATGATGAACTGTGGACTCTTAAGTTAGAACAGCAGTATCTCTTTTCCAGAAAGAAACCTCAGAGTTGTGGAGCATGAAAAAGTAGCTAGCTCAGTTGTTCAAGGGCACAAACACAATTATTTCCACAAAAGAAATAAATTATCAGGCTGAGAAACCTATGTAGTTCTTCTAATCGCCTGCATTGACCTACAGAGAAAACTTGAGGGAGAATAAATTCCATGGGCAACTGTGCCAACATCTCTTCAGTTTGCCCACAGGGAATATCTCTGAAGATTACAGCCCATTTGCTCTCTGACAGTCCTCAGAAATGGCAGGTCTTAATTCATCCCCAGGCTTGAGATTTACAATAATGCAGTACCAGCTTGCCATCACTTCCAAAGCACTGTCAAGGAATCAGGAACAGACAAAAATAAGAGAAAAAAAGTTAAAATAGCAGCAAAGTAAGCAATTTAATGTTCATGCTAATTTAATCCTGATAGAAGCAATGTTTTATTGCTCTACTATGTGGTGACAGCATCCTATTGTTGTTGTTCAGTCGCACAGTCGAGTCCGACTCTTCGCGACCCCATGGACCAGCTCCCGCCAGGCCCTCCTGTCTTCCGCCGTCCTCTGAAGTTGGCTCAATTTCATGTTCGTTGCATTGATGACACTGTCTAACCATCTCATCCTTTGCCGTCCCCGTCTTCTTTGACCTTCATAATAGCATCCTATTCTTTGACCTTCATAATAGCATCCTACTATGAAACTCTATAACAAACAGGGCCCAATATATGATGACTTTACGGTTCTACTGAGGAATAAAACAGGAGTCCAATAGCACCAGGAAAGCATAAGCTTTTGTGAGTCAGGGCTCACCTCAATAGATGCACAGGAGCATACATCCATTAAGCTGGTGCTTCATTGAATACTCGAACATTAAAATTATTAGGTGGGATACCTACTTGATTTTGTCATGATATCTCTCCAGATAATATGGAACATTGAAAAGTTAAGTACTTGCATACTCTCATTATTACTCCCATTATTAATACCACGTTATTACGAATAGTATTGTACTTATTACACAGAAGATGAATTTGGGGGACACCCCCATTTCTGTAACTGCACTGAATCTACATTCTGTATGTTGTCATACTATTTCAGTATAATGTACTTTATTCAATTTTATTTCATACTGTAATTTGATTGTATTTTGTGAAAATACAGAATAAACTATTAATAAAATAATTAAAAAGCTGGTGCTTCATATACACAGTGATGGGGGGGGGGATAAAGAGAAAGGCCAGTTTAAAACATGATCCAATAAACAGAATAATCAGTTCACTCAGATTGGGTGAAATTTATTCCAACAGTTGTTAGATAAGCAATAAAGATGTAACATAAAATATAGAGAAAAATAAGATTCAGTAGGAAGCTTCAAGGAGTATGCGAGAGCAGAGCCTATACTATAGGTCAGTGATGGCAAACCTTTTAGAGACTGCGTGCCTAAACTGCAACCCAAAACCCACTTATTTATCACAAAGTGCCAACACGGCAATTTAACCTGAATACTGAGGCAAAATCAACATTCGAACCACCACCATTTGCAGCATGAAGCAGGGCAGCCTATTCCCCTAGGGTTGCCAACCTCCAGGTGGTGGCTGGAGATCTCCTAGGATTACAACTGATCTCCAGGTGACAGAGACCAGCTCACCTGGAGAAAATGGCTGCTTTGAACAGTGAATTGTATGGCATTATACCCCACTGAAATCCCTCCCTCCCAAACCTGACCATCCTCAGGCTCCACCACCAAAATCTCCAGGTATTTGTCCCTATATTCTCCCCACACTAAGTGTTTTCCTGAATGGGTGAGAACCAGAGCAGAGGGGTTGTGGACTGAAGGGGAATATTCCTGGCAGAGATTTCTAAAACTCCAGGTTGCAAAGTACTTGCAGATTTGGGGAGAGGGGATCCTGTGTAGTGCAGAAACCTCAGCGGGGTATAATGCATGGAGTCCACCCTCCAAAAAAAAACACCATTTCCTCCAGGAAAACTGACCTGTCACCTGGAGACAGGCTGTAATTCAGGAGATCACCTGGCCCCACCTGGAGGTTAGCAACTCTACCACACACACTTCCCCCCTCCTCTTACCATGGTTTCTCAGAACTAACATTCTATGAGGCACAAGGAAGAACAGGGCTCCCTACAACCCAGACAAGAACGCCCTGCCCCTTCCACGGCACATCCCAGGAAGCCACCCCGTTAAAGGGGCAGCAGCAGGACATTTCCCTCGCCAGGCTGCTGGCGCAGACTGAGCCACCCCAGCGCTTCGCCTTGCCGGTCTCTCCCTTACATGAACCCGGTGCCGCCGGTCACCAGGATCCACTTCCCGAAGCCCGGCAGCAGTGCCTCAGCTCCTAAGGGGCGGCTAGACATCGTCCGTGAGACGGTAGTGCCTTCCCCTCCCGCGTATCACTTCCGAGGCAGCTGCCACCACCTACTTCTGCCCTCAGTCCAGTCTGCCCACTTGCCAGTCACTCCCACCCACCTCTGAAGCCACTCTGTGCTGGGGCGACAGCTCGCGTCGCGTGCCCACAGAGAGGGCTCTGAGTGCCGCCTCTGGCACCCGTGCCATAGGTTCACCACCACTGCTATAGGTCCTGTAGTGAATGAGGAACATCTTCTAGTGAAGCTTTCTTATGAAACACTGCCACCTATGGACCAGTTCTTGGAGTATTGAAATATTTAATCTAGACAGGAAGCAATATGGAGTGACCAAACTAGTACAAGTTTTCTTTAACCAACAAAATTAAAACATTTCAAAGCTGAGAATCACCTCATAGAGTGTTCCAACTTCCTGGTCTGGTGAAGGCGAAAAGGACTGATTCACATAAATAAACTGCATGACAAAAAAGAGATACACTGTATCAAATTAAGCATTGTTAGGGTCTAAGCTGAAATCTACATCCAGTGACAAACAAGAGACAACATTTAAACCATCAGAAACCAGAGTTATTCAGCTACTTCAGAAATAACCCAAAAAACCCTTAAATCACATGCATAGCAGTAATTCCAAGAAGTAGTGGGAAGTATTTATAGCACTGTATTTATCCAAAAGGAACACTATTTTTCCAGGCATGCTGTCAGACAAAAGAGGGGAATTATTTTACAGTCACATACAAGTTACAAGTATATACAGCAATAACATTTTTGTGTGTGAATAACATTGGGGAAGATGTCATACTTTTGGGTAAGTATGGTATATACATTCCTAGATGTGCCTTTAAGAGGAAAGTGTGCGTGTGCAAGAGAGAGGTCTTCATGCCTAGTCTGTGGCCTTCCCAGCAGTATCTGGCTGATGGCAACAGCTGGAGAAAGAATGCTGGCCTAAATGGACCTCTGGTCTGAACAAGTGGGGCTCTCTTTATGTTGTTACAGTTCCCCTCAATTTCACATTCAGGAATGAAAAACCATCACATACCAGCTGTTCTGAGGCCATTAACTTGAGAAACTTTTTGATAAAGTCAATTAGCCCCTGGATTGTGCGAGTTCTCTCTACAGTCCATTTCTTGGTCTTCATTATAGGCGTATCTCCAACAGCCTTAAGCAAAACGTCAACTAGAACATAAAGAATACTTCAAATGAAAAACCTGGAAATACACACCAAGGAAAAGAGCAAAGAAAAGTGAGCTAAGGTATTCTGAAAATTGTTTATTTATTGATCTTCATTTTAGGAATGGGCACAAACTCCATTTTTGCAGTTCAGTTTGTGGTTCATGGCTGAACCATGAACCTATACAAACTGGGTCAGTTTACAAACCAAACCAGTTCATATGGGTTTGTGACCCCTGCTTTCTGCTCCCTGCTGCTTTTCATGGGGAGCAGAAAGCAGGAGTTTAAATGGCTCGTTGCTGAACCCAAGGAAGCCCCTTAGAGCAGTTTGCTGCACACAGCCCAGCTGTTTAAGTGGGCTTTCTTGGGCAGCGAGCCCCAGGGACTGGCTGCTCAAGGTGGCAATTTTTAAAAGAAAAACTGGCAATAGGCAAGGGGAGGAAATGGCCGCTGCAGGGATAGGATTAGGGGAAAGATCAGCCATACAGGAAAACACTGATCTTCCCACCCACACAGTAGCCACCCAGGCTTTACTGTGATCTTTCCAGAGTAAAGTTTAGGAAAGATCAGAGAAAAGCCATGGAAATGTCAGGAGGTGCATGAGTGCACCACAATGCTGTGGAGAAGCAAGACAAATAAAACCCTTCCTCAAACCATTAAACCCTGCATGGATAACCTGGGCAGAAATGGTATAAGATAATAAATAAATCAGTAGTAGGAAAGGTACTCTCAAGGATTCAGATTCTTACAGGAAACCACAAGAAAATATTTCATCTAAGGCTTCCAGGCCCCTGCTGAAGCAGGGGACCCCCTGTCATCGATCAGCTGGCCAACAAGGGATGCCTAGCCTCTGGTATTTAGACAAAAAACACTATGGTAAAAAGGAGTCAATCATGGAGTTTTTGCCTAAATATCAGGGTGTCCCCATGTCATTGGCTATGTGATGTTGTTCCTTCCAGTACACACCAGAAGTGGCATTGCCAGCCTAGCCCCCCGCCCCCATTAAGTGGTCTAGCCAATTCTATTATTGTTAACATTGATACCAGAGTCTCAGACAGCAGCCACAGCCTCAAGGTAGAGCACCTGCAGACAGTCCCAGGTTCAAAACCAGCATTTCTACTTAAAACAATGCAAAAAGTGAAATGGTCTGAACTCAGGAAAAGGAAGTTTCAGATGTTCAGGTGTAAATACTCACTATGTAGTGTCTGAACCTGGCACCTTCTTCATGCAAGGTGTGTACCCAACCACTGAGTCATGAAATGATGGGCAGTGAAGAGTTCTAGGGATAATTCAAGTGGCAAGCTGCAGCTGATAAGAACATAAGAGAAGCCAATGCTGGATCAGGCCAATGGGCCATCTAGTCCACCACTCTTGTCACAGAGTGGCCAAAAATACCAGGTGCCATCAGGAGGTCCAGCTGTGGGGCCAGAGAAATCGGATGAGATCTGTTTAGGGACTTGAAAGCCCCCCTGACTTTGGAATCATGTCACCTCTTCACCATCTAGGTGCCTGAAGTAAGTAACTCTGCCATGGAGAAAAACATCCTGCGCCTTTAACAGAGGCCTAATGTATAGAACTCCTGCCAACCTAGCAGTTTGAAAGCAAGAAATTGCAAGTAAATAGGTACCACTTCGGTGGGAAGGTAACAGCGTTCCGTGCGCCTTGGTGTTTAGACATGCCGGCCACATGACCACGGAAACGTCTTCGGACAGCGCTGGGTCTTCGGCTTTGAAACGGAGATGAGCACCGCAACCCTAGAGTCGGATTCGACTGGCTTTCGAGCAAGGGAACCTTTACCTTTTAATGTGTAGAAATGGCCCATACAAGCTTTTCATAGCAGGAGGTAAACAGCATCTCATTAAGCCTGTTAAACGGGCAGGATGATTTTCTCCAGGCCAGTGAGCATTCCTCTCAGCCACCCACAGCCCCACCACGCCAAATGCTGCTCCCTTTTCGGCCACCGCCACTTTACTTTTCTTTTTCGTGTCCCCAGCAGGTTCCTCAGACACCGGGGAAACAGCTAAGGCGGGAGCCGGCTCCAGCACCCCTACCGCAGCCCCTCCACCTTCCGAGATCTCGACCCCCTCCTGAGGCGACACGGAAACCTGTTCTTCCGTTACGTCCGACATGATGTACAAAGAACGGAAGTGACATTGGCACCCCCCGGGCCCCAGCTTTATAAACTCGGGCCACGAACACGTGACCAGGGCGGGTAGCGAGGGAGGAGAATTGTCCCTCGTGAGCCGCCGTCTGACTCGACCGCGTAAGTCAGATGACAGGAGTGTGTTTATTCCCCTTGTGGTGATCCGTTGTCAGCTGTGTTTTCCGTACTGGCTTAGAAGGGGGAGGCGGTTCTTCCGCGTCTCCAGCCTCAGACGGGGAAGCTCGCAACTTTCCGCCGCTCAGCCGCCCATTTCTCCTCCCTCTTCAGCCATGATTAAGGCGATCCTCATCTTCAACAACCATGGAAAGCCGCGCCTCTCCAAGTTCTACCAGCGCTATGTAAGCGGGGGCGGGCAGGAGTCCCACATGCAACGGGAGTCCCTAGCTGGCCAGTTCCGTTTGTCCTGAGGCGCAGGTGGAGAGGGGGTCCAGCCTCGCTCCCGGACCTGAAGTGGCATAATAGATTGACCCTGTTGGGACTGCAGCCTGAGGCGGCCACGTTGCATACCCAGGCCCACTAAGATGCTTCTGTTTTTCTCTCCCCCCCCCGTAAGTTAGGGTGCCGGGTAGAATGAGCTATGCCACTGCAGACGTTGCATGCCAATTTTGGATGCTCCTCCACATTTCTTTTTAAAAACTTCCCTAAAAAGTATTTTTTAAAAGATCTTTGGTTGTGTTGCCCTTTTAAACATGGGCGAGCTTTTTTAAAAAATGTAGTTCCCTACTTACAGTCTAAAGTGGTTGAGTCCATGTTGTCCGATTTCTCTGGTCTCTTTTGGCGGAATGTTTAGACCAGGTGTGAGTTGTAATGCTGAAGAAAGGTATTGTAAATGCCCAAGCATGCCTAACTGAAAAGAGAGAGTTTGAGTCCAATGGCGCCTCTGAGACCAACAAAGTTTAGTTCTGGTTATGAGCTTTCGTGTGCATGCACACTTTTTCACTTGGTGAACAAGATGAGAAACAGTAGAGTGTAGCTGGACACTGATGAGGTCTCATGTTTCTGGGTAGTGGAGGTTTACTTCCGGTTGGTGACATGCAGTATTTAACTAGTCTTTGGTTCGAGGGCTGGCGTCGATTCGTAATTTATTCAGAAGCTTGTGTGTTGGTTGGTGCTACTAGGATAACTTATTGCAGCTGGATGATTGTCTATCTAAGGGAAGTCCAAACTGCTATTTCCTCTGGCTGTTTCATATATTAGAAATATCCTAGACATTTAGTATTTCCAAGTGTTTCCAAATAGAAAACTGAATATCCTACATGTTCAACCATGGGTGATCAATGTCTGTATCTGTTTAGCTATATATTTATTTATTTTATCAAATTTATATCCTGCCCTCCCCGCCAAGGCGGGCTTGTGACCATTTGCTCAGTTCTGCCAAAACATGCCTTGGTAAAATTATATAAACTGGGTTTATTTGTTTGTTTTGATTTAATTAATTACATTATCTTGATCTGCAAAAAATATAAAAACAGTTTCAGAATCTCTTTTGACAGTGTGGTGCTGTGCAGTTAAGATGTGCAGCTGTGTACTGAAGCCATTGATATAAGTGGGCTTTGGCATGCTTACATCTATGCATAAGCTAGATTTGTAAAACAACTAATTCAGTATTGTCTTATGAGTGTTTGAACTTAGGTGGGTTTTTATAATATTTTTTCTGTATCTATATTTACAGTAGATGGCAACAGCCATTAGCTGACATGGCTTGTGGCAGCTCATGTTTTTCTTAAAAACATAAGAAACATAAGAAAAGCTCATGTTTTTCTTAAACAGATAAAGCTCATCAACTGAAAAACTAAACAGAGCTACTGAAGCTTACCCATTAAGGATGCTTTCTTAGTAGTAGTATTAGAACCATAGCAAATGCAAAATATAGAAATTTCTTCGTAGCTATTAGATGTAACTGGCATTTTGGGGGAAATCAAAATATGTACAAAATTTACTTTATAAGTCCCAAACGTCTTTTACAGGTTTAACATAAAATACAATCTTAAAATATATAAAATTGTATTATTTCACGTATTTATGGAGTTTAAAAGTATAAATATTTTCATTTTCTATAAAGAAAAGAAATGTGAGTACAGCCAGTACTTGAGAGAGTTGCAGACTGCTGCACCCAAGGTACTATAGCACATGTGTTTTTAACTTTTGTCATCTGAGAAGCAGGACAAAAGAAAAGTTGAAGGTAAAAAAAATTCGGTAGCAAACAAAGAAAGTGGATAGTAGGTAGGACTTCCAGCATGACTGGATATTAAGCTAAACTTTATAATACTGAAAACACTGAACTATTTAATAATGTACTATTATCAAACACATTGTACCATATTAGATGTTGCAAAATACATGGAGGTTAACCTGAGTTAACATTAACTGATCAATTTAGGCATCATAAATAGGTTAATTTAGATGCTACTCTTAACTCAGAATGGAACATAGATGTTTTGTGAATCTTTGTTAATAATTTATTTGCAGTATTTCATAATAATGATTTCAGTAGTGTTGCTAAGATCACTGCTTTCCTTCCTTTTGCAATATGTTGCAAACTTTTTTTAGGTGTTGATGTTTTATCTTAATGGCATATTTTTCTGGTGTATGCTCTAGTTTCTTAAGTAGAAGTTGAAAATGTGCACTTTTAACTTGTCCTACAACAGTATGGTTGGCCCTGAAGAGACATTCCTGAGCTTCAGGCAACAGGTAAAAAAAAGAGAATGCACTCTGCTGCCTTGCCATCTTAATTTTTTCCTTTTCCTCCCCTCTAGAGTGAAGATACACAGCAACAAATTATCAGAGAAACATTTCATTTAGTGTCAAAACGTGATGAAAATGTCTGTAATTTCCTAGAAGGAGGCTTGTAAGTATAGCATAAATCAAATTAGAAGGTTTTTGCCAGTCTGAAGACAGGTGCTTTAGTGAATGATGGTGCACTTCAGAGATTTGCCATGTCAACAAATGCTTAGAGTTTTGCACCAATACTGTATGAGAAAATGTGGCATTTCCTACTCTAACCCTACTAAGATATCCATTTGCTGGTAGCTAAAGTTGTTGCTGTCATCATAATACCTGATTCATTTTCATTCTCTTTGAGGGATCTCGGCTGGTTGACTAGCAGAGTCAAAATGGTCTCTGAAAGGTCCTTATGTTACAAAACACCCAATGTAAAAAACATAATATAATGCACAATATAACAAACAAGCGGGGAACTCACAAGGACTTGCAGGAGGAATCTCATTTCTCCTTCCCCAACATTTCCTTTTTCTCTTTCTTGAAAGGCCCAAAAGCACCTGATTTTTTCCTGCTTCTTTTCCACTCAAAAAGCCAACCTACCTCTGTCTGCCACCACATCTTCAATTTCCCCTTCTCCTTTCTCTCTGGCAGCCTCTACCTGGGAAAACCGTGGCTGGATAACTATGGTGGCCCTGTTAGTCACTGTAGGACAAGGGAAAAAATGAATGTGATTTTTAAAAAATAATTTTTATTAAAAGTAACACTATCAAAACAGAATCATAGCGCTGAATACAAACAGATACCAAAGCAAAGATAATTGACATATGCACAAAACCATGAAACAAAACCAGGCCCTGTATCCACAACCAAACTTAGCTGCAACTGTTTAGTTTTCATCAGACTAAATGACGTGTCAATCCTTATGTGTGGCAGAATGATGATTGATCTTGAAAAGAGCTAAGTGAGCTCTGCCAATATTTTAAGCCCTATTATGAAACTGACAAGAAGCTAAAATCGGACCCAAGGAATGTAAGAGGCTTTAGCAGGGATAATGTTTTTCTCTGCCATAAAATGCAGGACCCTTGACCAAACCGAACCGTTCATAAGCCTTAGATGTATCCACTATTCCTTTTCCTCTGACATGTCTATATGCTGACAGCTGTCACTGTGCCTTCAAAAGTTTAATTATAATAGATCCAGATCTTGGTATGTAACCTAGAATTTTCTGATTAGAGCAATTTATAGCAGAATATATATTTTATAACTGCACCTTTTTGTATATGAAGCTATATATTAAGAAAAAGCATTATTAAGAGGCCTCTGGGGATAGAATTAGGATGCAATAAGAATGGAATGCATATTCAAGAAGCTGCAAGGACGTGAAGAGTGAAGTTAAATGTGCATCCCAACCCCTATCACCCAGCTCCCCAAAAACAAGGGAAAGAGAGACTAGCTTCGTTAAGGTTAGAAAGGATCTCCCTGATGTTCCCTAAAGTTCCCATTGCTCTGAAGAGCAGATAAGCAAATACAATCACTGACATACATGACCAATAGTAAGGTTTAAAGTCAAATGATCCTTGTATGATGGTAACTGCTTGGTACCAATTAGAGATTCTTTAATGTGTAAACTATATGTGATGTCATTTGGGGTATAAGACCTTCTGCCCTTCCTGATTATGCCAGAATACAGCTTTGGAATTGCTGAAGTGCAAAGGCACTCAGCCCCGTATTTCCTGTTTCAATACATTAAACAGATGTTCATCTAACTCGTTGAACTTAGACTGTGTGTTTCCAATTTGGCAATGGGGGCACGCAGGCAGATTTATGTATCATCACCAGGGTGGGCCCAGTTTCATGTTGCTTGCTGCTGGGTTGAGTTGTATGGTGAGGAGCCTGCAAGGACATGTAGGAAGCACCTCATTTTCTCCCGTATCCCCTCCCTACACCATTTTTTCTTTCCCCCCCTTGTGGCAGTCTCCCTATCCTTACCTTTCCCTGCTTCCATCTCTCCTTCCCACCCACCACCCAAGTTACCTTTTATCTGCCCTTATTTTTAACTATGTTTATTATTTATTTCATTTATACCCTGCCTTTTTCCACAATGGGGACCCAAAGCAGCTTACATCATTTTCCTCTCCATTTTATCCTCACAACAACCCTGTGCAATAGGTAAGGCTGAGAATGTGGGGCTGGCCCAAGGTCACCCAGTGAACTTCCTCAGCAGAATAGGGTTTCAGGCCTGGGTGTTCCATATATTAGTCTGAAACTCTAACCACTATCCTGCACCAGCTTTTGGGGGATAACTGCTGTTGAACATTAAGAAACAGCAGGGCCTGGGTGAGAGATGCGAGTTTCATGGTGGTAAGTTGTTTGGTGGTGGCTGCCAGGCCTGGCCCTAATGAGCCCTGCTTCAAAGGCCCTGGAAAAGGCCCTCCCCCTGCCTTTTACTGACAGAAACCAGTACTTAAAGGCTGGCAATACTCTTGTAGTTACCTAGCAATGGCCATGAAGGGCATTTGGTTCTTGAAGCTACATTTGATGCTTCTGTTGTTTTGAAGGTTTTAACTGCCTCCCTCCAGAAATATGTTTAGAATTCAGATTTATTTTTTTATTTTTTTGTACATCTGGGTTTTTCTGCCATTTGTAGAAAGATCTGTCTTGTACATGGCCCCTATTTCTGCATTTAAGTATGTTGAGAATTAGATATATTTGATGCTTTTCTTATCCATTGTAAGCCTTATTTAAGAGCCCTACATGTGAATTGCTCCCTGTCTTGCAGTACCAGATGAGGCTTGGATTGGGAGGGCAGAGAAGATCATAAACTGGCCAATGAGAGCACTTTTACCCAGTCAGGTTTTATGTAACCTTAGCTTTTATTCTGGGTCATTTTGCAGTTCTAGTGGTTCTGTAGAGCTAAAGGTGGTGATGTTCAGATTATCTGTCAGTTAGTAACTTTTTCCACAATGGGGACCCAAAGCAGCTTACATCATTTTCCTCTCCATTTTATCCTCACAACAACCCTGTGCAATAGGTAAGGCTGAGAATGTGGGGCTGGCCCAAGGTCACCCAGTGAACTTCCTCAGCAGAATAGGGTTTCAGGCCTGGGTGTTCCATATATTAGTCTGAAACTCTAACCACTATCCTGCACCAGCTTTTGGGGGATAACTGCTGTTGAACATTAAGAAACAGCAGGGCCTGGGTGAGAGATGCGAGTTTCATGGTGGTAAGTTGTTTGGTGGTGGCTGCCAGGCCTGGCCCTAATGAGCCCTGCTTCAAAGGCCCTGGAAAAGGCCCTCCCCCTGCCTTTTACTGACAGAAACCAGTACTTAAAGGCTGGCAATACTCTTGTAGTTACCTAGCAATGGCCATGAAGGGCATTTGGTTCTTGAAGCTACATTTGATGCTTCTGTTGTTTTGAAGGTTTTAACTGCCTCCCTCCAGAAATATGTTTAGAATTCAGATTTATTTTTTTATTTTTTTGTACATCTGGGTTTTTCTGCCATTTGTAGAAAGATCTGTCTTGTACATGGCCCCTATTTCTGCATTTAAGTATGTTGAGAATTAGATATATTTGATGCTTTTCTTATCCATTGTAAGCCTTATTTAAGAGCCCTACATGTGAATTGCTCCCTGTCTTGCAGTACCAGATGAGGCTTGGATTGGGAGGGCAGAGAAGATCATAAACTGGCCAATGAGAGCACTTTTACCCAGTCAGGTTTTATGTAACCTTAGCTTTTATTCTGGGTCATTTTGCAGTTCTAGTGGTTCTGTAGAGCTAAAGGTGGTGATGTTCAGATTATCTGTCAGTTAGTAACCACATAATACCACTGCAAGCTTCATGAACTAAGTAGATATCATGCATTTTATGCAGCTCATTTGAATACCTAGCTTCAGTATAACTGAGAATTTATCTCTTTCATTAGCAGTGGAGATAGGCTTCTGTGCAGCCTGTGTAATCATGGTACTATAGATATTGGCCTGCCTTTTTTAGGGAGACTCAGCAACTGTTGATGTAGTTGAAATGGTTTTAATTTTAATGTGCTTAACTACTCTTTTCCAGAATTACACTCTGATTTGTTTCTTGCTGTTTAAAAAGAAATTGAAGCTGGGGGAACATGAAATGTGGCTGTCATATGTTATTTGACACTTGTTCTATTTTAGATTAATAGGTGGATCGGACAATAAACTGATTTACCGACATTATGCTACATTGTACTTTGTCTTCTGTGTTGATTCTTCAGAAAGTGAGTTGGGCATTTTAGATCTAATACAAGTAAGTCATTTAAGGAGTAGATGATCCTTTTTATTTTTAAAGTGGTGTTCTTCATGGATATATTTTCATTTACTTGTCAACAAAGAACATTATACTTTGTAAAAATGTATGCTAACAAGACACTGAATCAAGTATTCTGCTAAGAAATGTTTTAAAGAGCTAATGTTGAGCCTTATCCTTCAAGGTCCTGTGTATTTTTTTGGCTGTAAGGTTTGAAACTTCTCAGAACTAACACAGGATTTTCCCAGCACTTATTAATATTTATAATATTGACAAATGGGGACCTGCAAGGAACTTGTGGAAAGGGGGCATTCCATTGCCCCGGCGTTTTCTTCCTCTCCCTCCCTTCGCTGTCACGGTTCCCTCATTGGGCAGCTCCCATGGCCACTCAGACATCTCCTCCTCCCCTCTGCCAGCCTCTAGAATTGTTGCCTTGGTGTCCAAGGAGGCAGTGACAATTCCCATATCCTCTCCAGCATCAGCAGCAGTTATGACTGGGAAATTCCACGCATCCTTCCTTACCTGCCTTGGGACAGAAAGCCAGTAGGTCCCACACCTCCTCCCCTGCCTGCCTCCTGTTTTGGTGCCTTAATATGTGTGTGTGTGGGGGGGAGCTGAATGTCATCACCTCAGCAGCAGAGATGGTTGGTTGGTCCCACAGAACTGTCTTTCCCACCCCTTTCCAGTTTTAACCTTGAGCGGGTTTTTTTTTTAAGATTTCAGATTTTTCTGCAACTCTGGGGCGTTTTTCAGGTTTACAGAAAGATCTGTCCTGTCTCTTCATGGCTTCATGGCTCTAGATTTAAGTATCCACAGATTTGGCCAAGTTGAGAATTAATAATATTGAGGATTGTATATATTGAATGATATGAGGAGAAAAAACAAAACGTAATATCAGCTGCATAGAATATTCTGCTTCTAATGTTGGTAACTTGGAAGCAGATTGTGAGCTGCACTTGTGTATGATTTAGACAGTATCTTTTGTGAACCTTCTAGTTTAAGTGATTTCTCTGCTGTGAGTTTTGGAGAGCCACTCACTTGGGCAGAATTCTATTATCGCCTGGAGAGCATACATAGTTAAAATGATCCTGTAGGCTTCCCACTGGATGTCAATTAGGTACATTGTACCGCACTGTTAGCCGCCCTGAGCCCGCTTTGCGGGATGGGCGGGGTATAAATATAATAAATAAATAAATAAAAGTGACATTTGTTATAAAGTGCTGCTAGATTTCAAGTTTCATTGGTACATAGATGTATCCACTTTCCTCTCTTAATGCTACTGCTGCTACTTTTCTTCGTCATTCACACATTTTATAGTAATGGGGTGGCCCATGCAGAATCAGTATTTCATAACTGTTCACTGTGTTCAGCAGCCTTGTTTCTCAACCCTGGTCTTTATTATGTTAAAATATTTATAAAGTCTAAAGAGTATGGATATTTAGCATAGCTGCTTGGCTATCAACAAATATCCAGTTTTAAAGATGCTAAAGTTATTTTTGTATTGAGGTTAATCCCATTCTGGCCAAATTGCAAGCAAAGTAGCACCTTCCTGTGTAAAAGGGCTATGGTCTTGCTGTAACTTGAATGACATAATATAAAATATGAGTTGATCAGATTGCTAGAATAGCAGAAGTCTTGATGTGTGTGTATTTAGAATATTTTATTTCATTTTGATTGGTTAGCCTAAATAATTTACCAGGGCTTTTTTAGATATGTAGAATAGAGGTATTGGAATCATGTACGTTTCTGCTGTTGCAAAATGAAGTAGTTGGGCATCTTATGTTTCAGACTTTAAGAAATATTTCCATGTTTATTGAATATGTAAGTCTGTATATAGAGCCTTAGAGATAGAAGACCCTCAAGACTTTCAGGGGGCATCTCATTTCCCCCTCCCCCATGATTTCCTCTTTCCCATCCCCTACAGCCCCCATAAGCTCTTGCCTTTTCTTGCCTCCTTCCCACCCACTAGCTCAACATACCATTATCTCCCCCCTGCTTTCAGTTTTCCTTCTTTTCCTACCCCTGGCAGCCTCTCACCTCATATTCAGCTATGTTTATAGCAATATATGTATCCAGGTTGTCTGAATTGCCAGATTTTATATAAAAAGGTCTCTGGCCTCTGCAGAGAAATGCCTTTTTCTGCAGTGAAAAAGCAACTAGAGAAAATCGAGAATTCAGAGAACCTGCTACACTTATTGGTCTATAGGTATAACACTACTCAATCACCAAAAAATGGGGGGGGGAGCGCTTGTGATAGCGTTGCCAGTAGAGTGCTGGCAACCAGTGGGTGGCTCAGTGAGGGGGCAGGGGAAAGTAAATTACCGGCACTCTGACAGTAGGACATCATTTGTGATGCAGACCCTATAAGATCACCACAGCTTGATGATGTCACTTCTGAACTCACACTGGAAGTGCTGTTGTGCTGTTGGAGCAATGGCTATCTTCCCCCTGTTGCCCTACTGAGTGACAGTAGGGGTGGGAGGTGGGGGCTGCTGGTGGGAGGGCTTTCTGGTAACAGCAGAAGAGTTGATGATTGACCTGACAGCCTTACCCAGTGGCAGAGAGAGGAGATATAGCTGCTGTTTGTCGGGAAAATAGCTGCTGTGTGGGTGCCACCAGGAAAATCCAAACTTTCCCACCTGCAATGCAGGCATAGAGATTTTGCTGTGATCTTTCCCAAAACTTAGGATCAAATCAGGTTTGGGAAAGGTCAGAGAAAAGCTGAGGAAGCCTTAGAATGTGCACAAATGCACCATGATGCTACGAAGAACAGGAAAAAAACCCATTTCCCAACAGCATTGAACTCTGGGCAAATAGAAGAAGGTGCCGTCAAGTGCAACATGGGGTGTTCCAGGCAAGAGATGAGCAGAGGGGAAATGCCATTGCCTTCCTCCACATAGCAATCCCAAGCTTCCTTGGTAGCTTCCCATCCAAGTGCTGACCGTGGCCAACCCTGCTTAGTTCCCGAGTTTTGATGAGCCGCCGGCTAAGCTGGGCTATTCAGGGCAAATAACCCACATATAAACAATCCTTTCTTATATACTTAATATTGCAGACTATATGTAATTATAAAAAGTAAAGCACTAGGGGGAGCAAGAAGTCCACTAATGTTATGATTATATATTAACAGAACTTGACTTCATAATTTAGCTGTCTGTTCAAGTGATACCTGTGAGTGGAATTAAAGCAGCATTTTTTAACATTCATTTTCCCCAGGTTGCTATTATGGGACCAGTATGATTAAACAATGTACTATGGTGCACTGTTGACATTGTGTATCTTTTTTGTTTTGGCTATAATATTGAGATTTGTTGCTGAAAGAGCTTTTTATCTATGGGACTGGAAGTAAGTGTGGCTAAAATAGTCAGTTATAGATGCTGCCTTTTTCTGTGTAGTACTATAAAGTTGTGAGCAAAGATTTTTCTAGGAACCATGCCTGAAGAGTATATTAATTCAGAAGAGGTTGAAATGTATCTCACGTTAACAAGGAGTCTTAAGGCATGATGGAAAGAACTGTGTTAACCATGAAGCATATGTCTTGTACAAAAGCTTTCTGTTAACTGTAGAATGCTGGGGACTGACATATGTGTCTGTGAGACACATACACGCACACATGTTTGAAAATGTATCTTTGAAACATTCAGAAAGACATTATTTAAGCTTCACTTACCATGGAAGATGGCCCCCTACCTTGAGTTGGCTGATCTGGCAGTGTGGATCCATTCTATGATACCTCAAGGCTAGACTATTGTAATGTGCTATCCATGGCCTGCCCTTAACAACAATGTAGAAGCTCCAGATGGTACGGAAAGCTGCAGCCCACCCACTATTGGGTGTGAATGCTCACTGGGTTATTGATGAGGTGTGTATGTGTGTTTTTGTAAAGCGCTGTCAGTTACAGCCGACTTATGGCAACCCCTCATGGGGTTTTCAGAACAAGAGATTTCAGAGGTGGTTTGCCATTGCCTGCCTCTATGCCCTAGACTTTGTTGGTGGTCTTCCATCCAAGTACTAAGGAGGGCAGAACTTGCTTAGCTTCTGAGATCTGAAGAGATCCAGCTAGCCTGGGCCATCCACGTCAGGGCTACTGATAAGTTACTGGATTCAGTTCAACATTGTCATTATCACCTCCAAAGCTCATAACGGCCTTGAAGTTACCCTTAACTTGCTTCACAAACAGTAATGCTGGTTTCACTGTAGGTTCTCAAGTTAATCAACAAGTGTCACCTGATCCCATCAAAAGTGAGAAGCACCATATCAGAAGTGAAAAGCACATGGTCTTGCTGGATCAGACCAGTAGTCCATCTAGTCCAGCATCCTTTCTTACACAGTGGCCAACTAGTTACTCAGAGGGCCAGCAACAGGACACAGAGGCAGAGGCCTTCCTCGATGTTTCACTGGTGTTCAGAGGTTTACTCACCATGGCTTGTAGCCACTGATAGACCTATCCTCCATGAATCTTTATACTCCACTTTTAAAGCCATCTATGCCTGTCGCCATCAGTGCTTCCTGTAGCATCAAACTCCGCATTTTAATCACTCATTGAGTAGCATTTCCTTTTTCCATTCTGAATGTACTGCCCATGAACTTTACCAGATGCTTCCAAGTTCTAGTATTTTGAGAGAGGGAGAATAAGTTGTCTCTACCCAGTGCATAGTTTTATAAACCTCTATTAAATGGAAAAGTGTCACTCTTCAGTCTTCCCTCATAAGAAAGGTGCTCTAATCCCTTAATCATCTTGGATGACCTCTTCTGTACTTTTTACTGATATCCTTTTTGAGATAGTGATCAGAACTGCACACAGTATTCCAAATGAGGCTGCACCATAATCTGCACAGGGCATTATATTGTTGGCTGCATTATAATATTGGCTGTTTTATTTTCAGTCCCTTTCCTAATAATCCCCAGCATAGAGTTTGCCTTTTTCACTGCTGTGGCATACTGAGTTGACATATCCATTGAGCTACCCCAGGACCTCTTTCCCACTCAGTGTCAGCAAGTTCAGACCCCAGTAGTCTATGCTTGCTTATACGTGTATTCTCTGGTTTGAGGGATTTGTAATCCTCTCCACTTCTTTTGTTCACTTCTGGGATTTTTTTTGCAAACCTTGGCGGCACATCCTGGTTTTTAGAAATAACCTCTGTATTATTTGGGGGGGGGGGCGGTTTTCAAAGCTTTATTGAAATATATAATCAGTTACATATACACAAAGAACCAATTATAGTAAACAAATACATAGAAGAACTGTTATAAACAGAAAGTTACAACCAAGTGTAAGCAACAAGAATGATGCAGATGTGTAAAACTTCACAAATCAGGCAAATTAATATACAGCATTAATAGCTTCTAAAACAGATTCAAATTCCTTTCAAGATGCTAGGTATTCTAAAACTGGGAACCATATTTTAACAAACCTTGAAGAGTAAGATTTATTATTTATTTATTTATTACTTTCAATTTATATCCCACCTATGCCAGGGCAAACTGGCTCAAGGCGGCATACACAGTTAAAATGTGATAAAACAATAAATACAGTAAAATTCACATAAACAACAATTTAAATAAAGTGCTAATAATATTGATAGCGGCAGTTACTATACATGGTCCGTTGAAGGAAGGCAATATCTAACGATGAGCCATAAGGGTCGTAGTATGTTCAGTTTCTGATGTCTCATTCATCAGTGGCAACTCCTATTCGAAGGTATAAAGTACTGAGACTGAGGCATAGCGTAGTGATTTCAGCTCATACTTTACTTAGAAAAAGAGTAAACTGGAGATACAGTAGCCGGCCAGAGTTCCGCTTTAAATACAATTACAAACCACACCCCAACACACACCCACATCCATGATTGGATTATTTACAGTTTTATTGCAACCATAGGTTTTCTTGAGGATCCGCATGAGCCGATAGGCTGGTTCTCGGATCCTCTCCTTCTGTTGTCCAAGGATGCGAAGCTAGGTCAGTTCGCATGGCCACGTGTAAGGGCGAGTCAAAAAAGATATAATAAGGGGTCACAGTGTGTAGATACATGCCAACAAACAAGAAACCACTGTGATAAAATGACAATGACACATTTAATAAATTCTGTAGACATTTTGCAGTATAGTAAAAAATTCAGACAAAAGCAAAACTCTGACCCCTTATTATATCTTTTTTGACTTGACTTTTATTGGGGATACTGACATACCAGTTATATAATATCATAATCAAAAAAGCATATGTATAAATTCAAAGTGTATGTATCATATAGGAGTTTACTTCTTCAGTGTTAATGCTCTACACCTTTAAGGGATAAGTATAACAACATGCAGCTGTCTGGAATCCATTAGATAGTTCCTTTAGAACTGCTTTCCAGAGTGAGAAGTGTGGAGCATTGTCAGCCTATTTCTAAGAAGGCTTTTAGCCAGATAGATATGAAATGCTGAAATGCACTCACTAATAGAGAGCTACCAGCCAACAATGTGAAATGGAGAGCAAATGCCAGCCAATTTAAAGTAGGCCTGTTGCCACATAAAAATTTTGGACTGGCTGCTACGAATAGAAATTAAGTTATTGGCTTGCTCCTATTCTAGTATATGCAGTGGAACTGAAAGTAAGTTTAAAATTATTCTAGTTAAAAGTAATAACAATTATTACATTCAGCTTCATGTTTGTTTCCACTCCTCAAAACTATGCTTTTTACAGGATATTTCACTAAGAAGAAAACACCTTCCAACTTTATAAGATTACTCATGAGGAAGATAGCTGAATTGAGTGTAAAAACCGGTGTACTCATCGAGAAAAGAGAAAATGAATATGTTGGACTCTGTTTTGCTTTTGTCTGAATTTTTTACTATACTGCAAAATGTCTACAGAATTTATTAAATGTGTCATTGTCATTTTATCACAGTGGTTTCTTGTTTGTTGGCACGTGTAAGGGCGGCCACATGTGTAGTCGCCATTAGAACACAACAGAAGGCCTGGTGGAAGAACTCCGTTTTACAGGCCCTGCGGAACTGTGAAAGGCCCCACAGGGCCCTGATGTCCTCCGGGAGCTCATTCCACCAGTGTGGAGCCGCCACTGAAAAAGCCCTGGCTCTCGTGATGGCCAGTCTGGTGTCTTTTGGGCCAGGGAGAGTCAGGCGATTTTGCAACCCTGATCTCAGTGCTCTGTGGGGCAAATATGGGGAAAGGCAGGCTCCCGACCGTATAGGGCTTTAAAGGTCAGAACCAGCACCTTGAAACGAATCCGGTATGCTACTGGCAGCCAGTGCAGTGCCTTCAGCACAGGCTGGATATTATCTCGTATGGAGAGACCCATCAGCAGTCTGGCTGCCACATTTTGCACTAGCTGCAGCTTCTGGATTTGGGACAAGGGCAGCCCCATGTAGAGAGCATTGCAGTAGTCTAGTCTCGAGGTGACCATAGCGTGGATCACTGTTGCCAGGTCATTGCGTTCGAGAAAGGGAACCAACTGCCTGATCAGCCTTAGGTGGTAAAAGGCTGACTTGGCAGTGGCTGCTACCTGGGCCTCCATTGTTAAGGCGGCATCCCAGAGCACTTCCAAACTCCTGACCCTCGGCGCTGGCACCAATGGCACCCCATCGAAGGTCGGTAGTGGGATCCCGACCTGCTCCGACTCAGGCACAGGACCTCCATATTCGTTGGATTCCATTTCAGTCGGCTTAGTCTAAGACAGCCCGCCATGTCCTGAAGTGCCCGCTCCAGGTCATCTGGGGTAGAGTCGGACTGACTGCCCAACAACAGATATAGTTGGGTGTCGTCTGCGTATTGATGACACCCTAGCCTATGTCTCTGAGCAATCTGGGCAAGGGGGCGCATGTAAATGTTAAATAACGTTGGGGATAACACCACCCCTTGAGGAACCCCGCAAACCAGCGGGTACCTTTGGGACGTCTGCTCCCCTAACACCACCCTCTGTCCCCGACCTTGGAGGAAGGAGACGAGCCATTGTCCCTGGATCCCAGTGTAGGCGAGGTGGTGGATCAGGAACTGATGGTCGACCGTGTCGAACGCGGCTGACCGGAGGTCATCTGTGGGGGTGACCAGTGCCGTCTCTGTCCCATAGCCTGGCTGAAAGCTGGACTGGAATGAGTCTAGCATGGAAGTGTCATCCATAAAGCTATGCAACTGAATAGCTGCCGCTCTCTCAAGTAATTTGCCCAAATAGGGCAAATTGGAGACAGGCCGATAATTGGCCAATTCAGCCGGGTCCAAGGATGATTTTTTCAAGAGCGGACAGACCATCGCTTCCTTGAGTGCCCCCGGGAACAGTCCCTCAATGAAGGACTTGTTGATAATATCCCTGAGGGCACCTCGCAACCCCTCACAGCCAGCTTTTATGAGCCATGAAGGGCACGGATCAAGGCAGCACATGGTTGGGCATACCGTTGAGAGCAATCTGTCGACTTCCTCAAGGCTGAATGGATTGAAAAGATTCTATTTCTCCTTGCATTAGAGAGTCTGATAATTTATCCATTATGCAGTATTCTTGGATTTTTAAGAACCAATCAGAGATTTTAGGATGGTCGTCATTTTCCCAAAATTTGGCAATGACTGCCCTTGCAGCTGCACAAAGTATTTCTATTAGGTCAGAAGCAGGTAAGTGACAATTATCATCAGGCCACCAAACCCCTGTATTTGTACTTGGCTTCACCATCAGGATTTTTTAATTAACATAATGGGTGCAGTGTTTAGAATTAGATACAGAATTGTTTTTCTGTTTGAAGTGAGGATTAAAAGTTAAATTTCTTCAAGTTAAATAGAGAACATTTTCTTAAACGTTGGAAAGTATAAACTGTGGCAAATTTCTATTTTCAATTAACTTTGATGTTGCTTCCCAGAATATTGTATATGTTCTAGCGGCAACCTTGTGCTTTAAAAACTGCTTTTAGTATTTTTAGTATGAGTTAAAGACTAAAGTAGACTTTTCTCTCCCTTTGCAAAGGAATTAATGTATATGCATTAGAGCATGCTTGTGGCAATGGGTTACTGCTCCTATCGAACAGCAATACGACGGGGCTGTTTTTGCCCTGTTGTCCACATGCTGGATTATATCAATTGATAAAATAGTAAACCAGCCTTCACTGCTGTTATTTGTTGGGTTAAACATTTCAGTATGTTTTTGTATGTAAACAAAGCATCAAAAATACATGAGTATATTCAGAATAAAAATACTTCAGCAGTTTAAATACTTTAAAAGTGTGAATTTTGTTCAAAGTATACCATATGGTACCAAGGAGCCAGAATGCAAAACCATTATATCAGCAAAATCTGACCTTCAGTAATACGCCTGGTATCTTCCAAGAGATTCTGGTGCATTAATCACACATGTTGTGCAGATACATTAAAGTTCCAGAATTCTCAAACAGTCTTCTGTGTTCTGTTTGCCACATTTACACTTTGCCCATAATGGAATGATTGAATTGCTATTAAACTTTGACCTGTTGCCTTTTTTTCCCACCACAGGTATTTGTAGAGACGCTAGACAAGTGTTTTGAGAATGTTTGTGAACTGGATTTAATTTTCCACGTAGATAAGGTACTGTGGTGAGCTGAGCTGCAATAACATCCTATCAACAAATATTCTGCTGACAGAACATTTGTCCTTATGTATGTTCCAATGGCATAGAGTTCTACCTTCATTCAATTGTCACTACTTCTTATCTACAGGTTACTCACTGCTTCAAAAAAAATTGTAAGGAATTGCAAAATTTTACATGACGATTATTAAAGGATCTGGTTGGGTGTTAAGAGAGCTTTCTGGTTACTATATCATGTCACCTGTTCAGAATTTGTAGGTTAATTTGGGATTGTCATGTCTGGTAGATGCATAAAAGTATGGCTCAAACTGTTGTACTGGGGTTAGGGAGGTCCTTACCTGAAAGCTTAAGTTTGTGGTTTAAAAAAATGAAAACTCAGAAAGTTATCCTTTCTGAAAGTTCAATTTTTTAAATGGCGGAAGGGTTCCCTCCTCCTTCCTCCATGTATGGGCTTGGTCAGTCAAGGCTGAGAAATCAGTTCTAGATAGGCAAACCATAAGAAATTTATAGGCAAGTGATGTGGATAAGTGACTGAAAAACCAGGAAGTGGCTCACTCTCGCAGACTTTGAACAACATTTATTTATTTATTTGTTTTATATCCCACCCTCCCAGCCAAGGCAGGCTCAGGGCAGCTAACATAGTAATGTAAAACAGTTAAGACAGGAGTTGAATAAAATCAAGACAATACAGTTATGAATAGAAATATAAAATAGACAAATATAAAGTGCTAGTTTGTATCAGATGGCAGGCATAGCAGCATTCTCCGGTAACAGCTGGCTGACATCGTCGTCTGGGTTGCTTGGCTGTTAACAATGATGTTAATGTTGGTGTTGGGCCAGGGCTATAGTTGCTTGGGTGCGGCTACCTAGTCGAAAGCCTGGTGGAAGAGCTCTGTCTTGCAGGCCCTGCGGAACTGTAAAAGGTCCCGCAGGGCCCTGATGTCTTCCAGGAGCTTGTTCCACCAGTACGGAGCCGCCACTGAAAAAGCCCTGGCCCCCATTGCAGCTAGCCTGGCTTCTCTGGGGTCCGGTAGGACCAGGCGGTTTAGGGACTCCGACCATAGTGCTCTCTGGGGCACATGGTAGGGAAAGGCGGTCCCTTAGATACATAGAACCCTGACCATATAGGGCTTTAAAGGTAAGAACCAGCACCTTGAACCGAATTCGGTATGCTATAGGCAGCCAGTGCAGTGCTTTTAGCGCAGGCCGGATGTGGTCCAGCATAGGGGGACCACATGTTTAGCTTGTTGAACTTTCAGAAAATCAACATAAGGAGTTTTGTAAAGAACAAAAAAAATGTCATTGTCTTTGCTTCTTCCACATTAAGCTTCCAAGTTTGTGGGTGATAGGCAGTTGGTTAAAGATACTAGGAAAGAACTTAATTTTTCTTAGTGTTATAACTGAATTTATTCTTTTACATAGTCAATATGTTTTCTCTTGTTTTAACACCTCTGATAGTTCTTGGGGGAAAACAGTAAATTCTTCCAAGAATGTTGTTTTGCACTGGAACAGTGAATTGGTCTGTTTTTGAAGACCATCAAGTATTTCCCCAGATTGTCCTAAGGGAAGTCTTCTTCCTTATTAACAGTTACTAATACATTTGGACATCTGGTTTGGAGGAGGAGGATGAAGAAGCAGGAAAGACCTTTGCCCTTGTAATTTTTAAGATAATGTTTTGTAATGTGAACTCCTGCTGTGAAACTAAAGGGGATCTGAGGAATAGATTGTAGTAATGAATGGGTGAGGTTTCTGTGTACATAAGCTCCTTTGTGCCTCCTAGATCCTGTCCACTTCCTCCTACATCCCTCACAGCTCATGCCTTTGTACCTTCCTTGCTTTCTATTGACCCTTTTCTTGCCAGTGAGTGAAATATATAAAACTACTGCTAGTGAGATCAGGTACATTTACCCTGACTTGTAGCAGTTGAAATTCCATGGCAGTTGCATGCATTGTACAATAACCCTCAGAACTGATATCCTAGCTCAGATAATGGATATATGGCATTATATTCAATAAGCAGTGTTTAAAGTCATCCTAATGCCTATCAAGGCTCTTTAAATTGAATAATTTCACTTTACTATGCAGCTTGCAATCCACTGCTTTACTGTAATATTTATGAAACATTTTGAGACTGTATACTTTCAGCATTGATTTTTAAACTCCTCATTAATATGTGTGCAAGGTTCAGATATCTACAAATCTGTCATATCAACTGCATTATATTTCAAGCTCAAATTACTGAGTGATCAGTATTAAACCTATAAAATATAAATACCTGAGTTTACTAATTACATTTAAAAAGTAAATTATTTTAGGTGACTTAAATATATACGTTGTATAAAATTAGTAGCTAATATTAAAAATACTTGTGATATATTTCCTTTTGGCTTTGATCTTTTTAGGTCCATAATATCCTGGCTGAAATGGTGATGGGTGGGATGGTTTTAGAGACCAACATGAATGAAATTGTCACACAGATTGATGCCCAAAATAAATTGGAAAAATCAGAGGTAAGAACTAAAAGCACTGAAATTGATTTGAGCATGATTGTATTACTTGCATGATGTGAAACTGTCACTTATCTTTTAGTATCGCCCTATATTCAGCTACTTGTATTGTTACAAATGAACATTCAGTATGTGGCATGTTAAAGCCTTTGTTGATTACATAAATAGCTAAATATTCCCTTTTCCTTCTATCAAAGCCATATCTGCCATCAGCATCTGTGTACAAAATCATTTCTGAGCTTCCTTCAGTCAAGGCTTCTGACTCTTATAGCTTCTCTTCCCTTCCAGGAGCTCATATTGAGAACTTTCTATAGCATCCCATTGAAGGGCATGTGCTGTCAACAGAAGTTATGTGTGATAATAGTATGGTGAAAATCTCTGTAGCAGTCGGAAACTCTGAGCAAGAAATTGAATGAAACAGCTCATCTTAGGTTCTGAAAAGTTAATTTGGTGAATTAAGAATCTATTCAGATTGTGTCCTAGATCTCTGTGATTTTTCCTTCTTGACCATGTAGGTCAGAATATCTGGAATTAGATTAAATGTCTTTTAAAACACTGAGCACCTGGAAATTTATAGCTTCCTTTTGTTTCTCACAAATTAGAATGGATAAAGAATATCAAAGGTCCTGCAAATTCAGAACATCTATGGCTGCAAGGCTGCTGTCAGAGGTCACTTTAGCTGGGAGGTGCATGCATTTAGCTTGCTGTTCTGCTTGCCTGTCCTGGTTGTCCTTCTTCCCCTTTATTCCTGCACAGAGAATCCTGGCTGAGAAACTCAGGTTACACATATGAGGTACAATTGTCCTGACCTGGATGGCCAAGGCTAGCCTGATCTCATCAGATCTCGGAAGTTAAACATGGTCAGCCCTGGCTAGTACTTGGATGGGAGGCCACCAAGGAAGTCCAGGGTTGCTATGCAGAGACTGGCACTGGCAAACCACCTCTGAACGTCTGTTGCCTTGAAAACCCTACGGGGTCACCATAAGTGTGTAGGAAAATTATTCCAGCTAATCCATTCAGCTGCTTTTTTATGTCGTGAGTAACAGGTGTTAGCTTTCAAACTAGGATGCTCTGCATAAAACAGAAGGGTGAGGATCAAAGCCTGAGCACAACAGGTTGGTTTTGTGCCCATCCTAGCGTAACAATGTCTTAAAACTCACATCTGAATGCAACTAAATGTTTGTGTATATGCAGACATGACACAAATTGTCTGTTTACGAAGTACAACACTTCGTGATAACTTTCTAAGCAAGTTATCTGGACCCTTCACAGTGTCACTGCTAATTTTCAATTTGATGGGATGTTCTCCTTCTCTTTAGCAGTATAACATGGTGCATTCTAATGAAAGAGCAGCACAGCATTGGCTGAGAAGCCCAGAAAATATTCAGTGCATGGCAATATACTATTTAATGAAGATACCCGAAGAGATTTTATGGCATCAGATAAGCTTGGCATCAGACTCAAAGTATGTTTAAAAAAAAAAAAAGGTAGATGAGCAGTTGAAGGAGACCTTGCTTTTAAAAGTTATGCGTAAAAAACCCCTGTGTGGTTTAAGCTATTAACCTGTTCAATTAGGCTGTCAGATAATTCACAAGATTCAGGTCACTTCAGTGAAGTGGGCCAAGTTAACTTCCTGTTTTCATTACTTCATCTGCTCAGATTTATCTAGTTTCTGAGTGCATAACAGAAAACTTGACAGGTGAATATTAAAGAAAGAAATGAGTCTTCGGGTTATTAGGTGCATTTAGTAGTATTGTCTTAGGAAAAAATAAACAAAGAAAAGGCAAAGTGACCTTTGAATAGTGTAATTGGTCCTTTCTAAGTCTCTGTCTAGTATTTTGATCTTTTACATATTGATGAACTCCTGCTTCAGTTATCCTTAATATTTGGCTTGGATTCAAAGTGTCCCTTGTGCCAGCAAAAAGCACTTCTGTCTGCACATGTGCAGTTGGGAATGTCTCTGTTTTCTTCTGCCATGTACACCATTGTAAAGCACTGCCCAACCCTTAGCTCTTTGAGGGTATGAGAGGCTCCAGTAGAAAGAAGAGGTGGGAAAACTCTGGGATACACACGAAAACATATTGCACAGTTCCTTGGTTCCTAATTTAAGATAAAAAGACTGATAAAATAATGACTTTATCCATTTATCTTATATCTTAAATTATTAGTTTACAGTTACAGCTTTCCAAAACATGGGATTGGACTCAGTGGAAGGTTTCTGTGGACAGAAAATATTTCTGTCTACCAAGCCTGACTTTCCTGCCTCCCCCTCCCTCTATAATTCAAAATGCCCCCCAATCCTGCTCATGGGGTGTAGGGGACCCCCATGAACAGCATTCTTGAGGGGGGGGTTGCTGTGGGAGGGAGAAATCACCAAAAATCACACCTCCCTTGCATGTGTAGAAATTCTCTGATGGATCCAAGCCATGAATTGCAATGTATTAACTAGAATTGGGTTCTTTGAGCTGAATCCTTTCCCCACATAATATTTTAAGAAAGCACTGGATAGTCATTTGCTCCTTTTTTCCTGAGTGACTGCGTTCAAAGTAAGTGGGCTTGCTCCAGAGTACGGATGTTGTAGATTGTTGTCTTAAAAATAAAACAAGGGTTTTCCGCACTGTAGATAGTGTTTGGCAGCTGAAATTACAGGACTAGAATATCAGCCAATAGCATTTTCTACATCTCTCCTTATAAGCTATGAGCAATGCTGGTTGTGCATTTCTGTTACCTGTTGCTCAGGAGCAGCTTAAATGGTATTTTGAATAGGTTCGGCAGTCACTCTGAAATCAAACAAATGTAGCTTCCGGCCTTTTATAAGGGGGAGAATTTGGGCTGAGGATTTGTCAGGCACTATCAGTGACATGGAAGGTGTCCTCCGGATAAACTGGGGTCCTTGTGTTGTATTTTTAGTGTTCAGTGGGGCTTGAATTTGGTCGTTTAAGTCAGTCCTCATTTTCCAAACCATCTGATCTTTTCTAGTTCTTTCCATTCTTCTCTTTACAGACCTTTATCTTTCAGTCTCCCAGACAGGACAGGTAGACACAGGTATTGCCAATTTTCAGAAAAAATGTGCTTCTATTAATGAAGGGAAAGCAAAATGATGTCAAAGGCAATAATAAATAAATTAGGCCAGACTCAAAAATTATGTGTTGATAAACCCATATTAGTCTTTGTAGCCTACTTTTTGTGCTAGTTTCCCTCATTTTTTATTGCCTGTAGTGTACTAGATTGTCATTGACTTCATATATTTTTATTTTTACCTTTCATTAGTGTTCAACTTTGGAATGTTTATATCTCTCAAATCCAATTCTGTGATATTGATGCTTGGAGTATAAACAAATCTGGGATATCATGCTCCCAGTTGCTTTACAGTTAAGCAAATCTGAAACTGTTGGCAAGATCATATCCTCCCTCTCCTACCTACCCAGTTTCCTTATGGAGTATGAATTCTCATGACCTTTTAAAATCCACGTTATGCCTTATGTCAGCAAACATTGGTAACTGCAGTTTGGGGCTGACCAGTTTCTGCTTAAGGTTCAGAAGTTGGAGCTCCAGGCTGGTTTCAGATTTTTGGTTAACTTTAACTGTGGGTTACTCTGCTGCTGTCATAATATTTTACCATGGAAAAAGCATGTGATCCCTGGCCTGCTTCTAATTAATATCAGCACAGTGCCATACCACCAACACTTGCAACCCTAACTAATACATATTGTGCATGCTTTAACTTTCATAGATTGTTCCACAAGCATAAATAAATCTGAAAACTGAATTTTTAAGTGGATGCCATATGGCTGGAATTTGTTATTCTTTAACAACGGAAGCAATATTGACAGGGTGTCCTTACTAATGAGGGAGTCCTTACTAACTGCATATTTTCAAGCAGTAGTAATACCTATTGTAAATGTTATAGTAATAAACTGATTGTTTAAATTTCCTATAGAGACAGATATTGAGAATTAAAATTTTAGAAGAAATTGCAGAGGAAATGTAATAGAAATTTTTTGAAATGTTTTAAAATGTAGCAATATACAAAAAAATTAAACCATTTAAGGCTCAGTGAACTGGAATAGTGTAACTTGAATTGGAAAGAAAATTGGCATGTATGAGTTTCAAACAGGTATTTTGTCGCATACTACCAGCTGTTCAATATTGCAAAAGCTTCATGGTAACCATCAGTGATCCAGGACAGCCATGGACAAAACAGCCTGCAAAATTAAAGTAGTTGTATTCATAGTTTTTATACTAAATGTCAGACAAAACCTTGACTGTTGTTAACAAGTAAAATCTTGGTCCAGTAAAGTCTTTGAAGGGAAATTTTAATTGATGAAAGTTCTTTACAGAACTGGGTCTTAAGTAATTTTTAAACTGCATAAGCAGCTATCAGTAACTTCATTCAACGAAACCAGAAAGTGTCTTAAAGTACGGATATTTGACAGAGTACAGTTTTAGACCCTTACTGTAAAGTCTAACTTTGAAAATGAGCAATCCAGCCATCTTAATTTCTTTGCTTACTTCCCCCAAATACAAAATGTTCTGTGATGTAAGAAAAAGGGACTTTTTTCTTTTTATGTAATACTGCTCTATTTTACTTTCTGCTTGTACATGTTCTGTTTTTATTTTTGGGTCTGGCAACTTAAAGTAGATAAACAAAAAAAAAATTAAAAAATCATGCCCATCCATTCCTATCGCTGTGATCCAAGTGCTTGAAATTTCTAAGAGTATGTCTAAGTCTTCTATCTGTTTGGCATTTTGATATACTTGCAGACTTCATTTTGTTTTTTCTCTAATTCTGTTCATTTATTTAATCCCATGAGAAGAGAACATGGCCATTCTTTTATATTCTGTACTGTATCCATCCATCCTATTCATAACCCTGCTGCTTTGAATCATACTTGTTCTGGGGAAAAGGTTTGGTATGAAACACCGGCAGCAGTGACAGCTAAATGTCAAACATCGTGGAGGAGTGTGCATGAACAGCTCCTCTAGCAGACTAAATTAATTTC